TTTCCTTTTATAAACTGTGCTTTTGGTCTGAAGTCTAAGAACTCTGTGATTTTTTTCTCCTAAATTTCTGNTGATAGGTTGCTTATCTCCATTTCATTTAGTTCTTTTTCTGGAGACTTCTCTTGTTCTTTCATTTGGGGCTTGTTTTTTGTCTCCCCATTTTGGCTGCCTATTTGGGTTTGTTTCTATGTATCAGGTAGGCCTGCTAGGACTCTCAGTCTTTTTGGATGGTCTCTGGTGCAGGCCCATGTCAGACGCTGTTTAGAACTGGCCCTGAGTACCCTGTTTGGAGCTATCAACAACCCACGGCTTGAGGTCCCCTCTGCTGGGGCTGGGTGTGTTTGGACAGGACCATCATGCACACCAAAGTCTGCTTTTGCAAGGCCCAGGTCCAGAAGCAGATCAGGCAAAGACTCAAAGCACTCTGAGGTCTGCCTCTGCCTGCAGGCTGATTTATCTGATTCTCTTAAGGAGCCTCAGGCTGTAGAAACTCCAAGGGATAGGGTGAGAGGTTTTCTGGCAGGTTGGGGCCATTGCTTCCCCTTCAGGCAAAAGCTGCTTGGAAGGTAAGTGACTGCCCATTTTGAATGTCCTCTGCAGTATGGGGGAAGGACTCCGCAAAGACATCCAGAGGGGTGCCCTCTGAGCCCTATCTGCAGAGACTACAACCTTAGTTTCTTCTCACACAGATTCAGTCCACTCTTCCCTCTCTCTGCTGGAGCCCAAGGTGAGTGGCTGCCCAGGGAACTTTGTGCATTGGCCTTTTAAGAGGATGCCTGCAGTTCCAGCTGTCTCTCCCTGGCAGACAGAAACCTGGCTGCTTTTCACAGCCAGATGTTATGTGGGTACCTTTCTCCGTTCTGATGCTCTTGGCTGGGAAGCCCAGCCTGGGGTTTAGGCCCCAGAGTCCTCAGTGGGAACCCCCCCACAGCTGAGATATCCCTTTGGACCTTCAGCTGCTGCCTGTGGGAGCCCAGCCAGCCCTCTTATGCCTCCACACTTCCTACCAGTCTCTATATGGTCTCCACTTTTCCTCCTTGGTTATGAGGGTGCTTTCCAGCTCGTCTTCAGCTGTAGTTGTTTATTCAGCGTGGGTTTTGTATTTTTTAGTTGTAATTCCAGTTTGGTCCAGGGAGGATATCAGTGTAGCTTCCATTCAGCTCACCACAATCTTTAGCTTCCTCATTGTGGTTTTGATTTGCATTTCTATTAAGCTGATGTTTTAATCTTTCATTTGCATATCCTCTTCTGTGAAACATCAGTTCATACTTTTTGCTATTCTTCTAATTGTATTGTTTATTTTTTTCCTGTTGAGTTTTAGATTTCCTTATATGTTGTAGATACTAGTCCTTTGTTGTATTTGACAGTTATTTTTTCCCAGTCTGTGGCTAGTCTTTTAATCCTCTTAACCAGTTTTTCACAGTTAATTTTGAATGACAAAATTACTCTTAATTTTGAAGTATAATTTACAGTTTTTCCTTTTATAAACTGTGCTTTTGGTCTGAAGTCTAAGAACTCTGTGATTTTTTTCTCCTAAATTTCTGTAGTTTTACAGAAATGTCGGTTTACATTTATGATTACGATTGATTTTGATTTAATTTTTGTATAAAGCGTGTGAGTTACATGGAGGTTATTTTATTTTATTTTATTTTTTTGCCTGTGGACGTCTACTTGCTCCAGCACTATTTGTTGAAAAGGCCATTTTTTCTCCATGGAATTGCCTTTGCACCTTGCCAAAAATCAGTTGTATGTATTTTTTGTGTGTCTATTTCTAATTGTTCTCTATTCTGTTTCATTTATGTATTGGTCTCTCTGTCAGTATTACAAAGCTTGATTGCTGAAGCTATATTTTAATTCTTGAAATGGGTACATTGATTTCTCCCACTTCATTTTGATTTTCAAAGTTGCTTTAGCTGTTAAGAGTTCCTTTGCTTTTCTATGTAAATTTCAGGATAATCTTGTCTATGTCTGCAGAAATCTTTCTGAGATTGTGATAGAAATTTTATTAAATCTATATATCACTTTGGGGGAAAATGACATCTTTACCATGTTGAGTCCTTTAATCCATGAGCATTTACATTTTCTTTGATTTCTTTCATCACAATTTTGTAATTTTTAGCATCTAAGTTCTATACACGTGTTGTAGGTCTTCCCCTAAGTAATTCATTTTTTGAGGAATTACAGTGGTAGTGTGTTTTTAATTTTATTGTCCATGTGTTCATTTCTCTTATGTAGAAATCTAAGTAATGCTTGTATGTTATCTTGTATCCTTCACTTTTGCTGAATTGTTTTATCAGTTCTGGGAGGTTGGTTGTGTGTGTGTGTGTGTGTGTGTGTTTTAATTCCTTGGGATTTTCTATGTGGACAATCATGTTTTCTATAAATAGGGACAGTTTTGTTTCTTCATTTTCAGGAACAGATTTGTTTTTTTTCTTTCTCTAACTACTTAAATGTATAATAGAGTACCAGATTCTGCCCACTGTTAAGTCTAAAATGAAGGAGACATTACATTCCAGAACCTGAAGATGCTAAGTGAATGACCGTTAAAACTGGTAAGATGGTTGAAGATCAGTGAGAAATTGAAAATGATGCCAACATTTTTTCCCTAAGTAATTGGGTGGATGTGATGCTATTACTGGAGGTATGAAACCCAGAAGTAAAAGCATTTTGGGAAATAATAATGAGTTTTACTTTGGACATGCTGATTTTTTTTTTGAAGCCTATGGCACACCTTCATTGCCATGTCCAATAAACAATTAAAGCATGGGGTAAGAATTTAGGGGAGCGGTTGTAGTTAAGGAATTCCTACTTTGAGATGATAGATGATGCTGTGGGAGAGAGCACATGTAGAATGAGTAGAGATCTGGGAAGAAATGTTAACAAAGAAATAGTATTTAGAGATATCATGGGAGAATGAAAAAAATGCCCTGTCACAGAAACCAGAGAAAGTTCTCTTTTGTCAAAATTCTGCCTATTTGTCGAGATCAATCTCAGAAGATTCAGTGAAATCTTCCAGACGCCATCATCTGCCCAGTCCCTTCACCTTTTAGTCATCCCCTAAATGTTTATAGAGCAGTTTCTTCTTCCTCTAATTTAGCATTTACCACACTGCCATATTAGAGTTTATTGTTTATGATTTTATATTCCTTTAAGGTAATAGTTAGATTTTTTTTAAAAAAAAAATATCTTTATTGATTTCAGAGAGAGGAAGGGAGAGGGAGAGAAAGAGATAGAAATATCAGTGATGAGAGAGTCATCACTGATAGGCTGCCTCCTGCATGCCCCTGGCTGGGGATACGTCCCGCAACCCGAGCGTGTGCCCTGACCAGTTGAACCTCGATCTCCTGGGTTCTAGGTTGATGCCCAGCTGCTGAGCCATGCCGGGCCAGGCTGGTTAGATCTTATTCATCGTTATTTTTCCTGTGTTTGGCATAATTGTCAGTAACAATTTAATTGAATGGAATTGTAGATAGTCAGTTTCAGAGGCTTCAAGGGGATAAAGAACAGAACTGAGAAGGGGCCATTAGATTTGTTGGTCTCACTAACCTTAGGGAAAGTTTTATCTCTAGAGTGGTGGAGAGAGAATGGATAGTTCTCCTAGTCTTCCTTCCCTCAAGTCAGTCTTGCCTTTTCTATACTCCCTCCCTCATTCTCTAATTATGTCTTTATAACTTTTGTTTCTTTGACACTACCATTTCATCATGATAGAAAAGTATTCATGCATGGTGACCTGTGAGAATTCTATTCTATTCTTCCAAATTTAGCTTGTATTCTGTTCTCAGTGCAACTACTGCCTACGCTGACTCTTTGCTAAACTTCCAAGGCTCTTTGCATTATATTGCTATCATTTAATCATTCTTCAATTTCTCTGTCCATTTCTTATATATTATGATTGATAAGATTTTTATTTCCTATAACATTAAATTGTTCTTAATAAATACTTAGATTTATGTCTTGATTTTTAAATATCATTACTAAATTATCTCAGTACTTTTTGTTTTAATTTAGAAATCTTTCTTTTTATATGTGTGTGCGTGTGTGTGTTTATTGATTTTAGAGAGAGGAAGGGAGAGAGAAACATCGATGAGAGAGAACCATTGATAGGCTGTCTTCTGCACTGCCTTCTCCTGGGGATTGAGTCTGCAGCCTGGGCATGTGCCCTGACCTGGAATCCAACCTGAGACCTCTCAGCGCATGGGTAGATGCTCAACCACTGAGCCACACCAGGCTGGGCCCTCTCTTTTAAATTCAAAGTTCACACACAAAAATCTCTAAACACAAATGTGTTTTCAATCTAAATTTAAAAGATAAGTTATAAGACTCAAAGGTTGATAATCTTTATAAAATATTTCTGTGAAACTTCTGTGAATCCTCTGTACAGGAACTTCTTCCTGTTTCTGTGTTTTCGTAGCACACGGTACCTGCCTATATTATGCTAGATTCTCAATATGTATTTATTTTTCAGGTCCCTTTTTTCCAATGGGCTGCAGTAGGCCAGAAATCATTCATTTTACTTTTTTTACCTTTTGCATTTCTAACATGGTTTTTGTTACACGGCAGTCATATTTGAATAACTGAATGACTTTTTCTGGTTTTTCTCCTTGAGTTTCTTGAATATCCAGGCTGATAAGATCTGTAATGTAATTTTGTTTTAGCATTCAATTTCTATTTGAACTGCACTATATTTTTTCCATTTAAAATATATTTCATTTTTTGTTTAAAACTGTTTTTTAAGGCATTATAAATATTTGCATCAGCATTGGGTGCTTACTCATTATATGACCCATGTGATAATTTCTAGGTGTATATTTTACTCAGTATATCTTCAATAAACTTAAGTATCTTCTGTTCCAGAAATTATATTTTTATGGAGTAGCCAGTAAAATACCAGAGTTCTTACTTTAATTTAAAAATATACACTGTTATTCAGTAGCTTCCATGTAAGAACTAATTTAAGTAGGAAAAGTTGGTTGGATTAAACAAAGGCTTTCTCTTTTCAGATTGCAGCAATTCTCCGGAAACGAAAATTAGACTATTATTTACACAGACTACTCCCTGAGATCCTACAGTCTGCTTCATTTCTGACTGCTAATGGGGCCTTGTATATGGCCTTCTTTTGCATTTTAAGGTTGGTACTCATAATCACTACTGGAGGTTAATACAAATTCCTTTGTTGAAACGGAAACAAACAGATGTTTATATAAATGTGCAGGTCACTGCTTGTATATTATTTTTCTCTGTGTGAAATGACATTTATTTATCCCAAGGAAAGCTTATAAAACCGGGAGTTGTGGGCCTCTTGGCCTGAAGATGTAATATAAACTTCAAATTATTGCTGTGATTATATAGCAGAAGTGCTTTAATTTATCACACATTTTCTGAGGGCTACTGTGTTTACCAAGTCATTGATGAGCATTTCTTAACTTTTCCATTCCATAGATCAGGAATTCAAAGCAGTTTCCATGATATAGGTTAAGTTCGTATGCAGTGAATAGACTTCAAAAGGACTATAGAGTGTCGTTGTTTATATATAAAACAGTAAGTTAACTATGGCATATTCGACTGATGAAACTTTTGGTTGTGATTCAGTCATACACATTACCTGTGTGACATGCTTCATACAATGTAGATGTAATTAGAATTTATTTTATATTTATTAAATACTTACTTTTTATCTTTTTCCCCAGTGATTGTTGAAAACCCAGACTGGTGTTTTTTTAATCCATCAAGTTTAAAATACTAAGTATCCCCATATTACTGTTATCTAATTAATGTTGTTCACAGTTCTGTAAGTGTATTTTAACTGCAATTAAAAATATTTTCAAATGTCTTTTACAGGTATTTCCCTCAGAACATTAATATTTATAAACATTCAGATTATGCAGAAAATAATTGATAAGGTTTATACTCTTGAGTAAGTCATGCCTTTAAGTTGACCTGAAAATCTGTATAAGAAACTCTTCTATCATGTGGTCTCTGGAAAGTTTCTAACACTTGTTATAGACAGAGAACTACTTCCAGTATTCTTAGGCAGAAGGTTTCTGATGTCCATTTTAGGTATACCCATGTTATTTATGCTCAGTAAGTTTGCTAATTCTTTAAAGCTAAGCTTCAATTCAGAAGATCATTTCATTTTTGATTCTTGATCCTTACTGTATGTGTGTATTTATATTTTTTTTATATATATATTTTTCCCTATAATATATCATTTAGCAATTGACTAACTTTGTTCAGAAAATTTCTTATAATTATGTGCTGCTTCTCCCTGTCTTAGTAACATATTGTCTTTGAAGGGAAAAAAAGTTTTCCTAACACTTTCAATTTTTTTTTCTCTTTAAAAATCTAAGCAGCAAATGGCTTTATATAATGTGTGAGACACTATGCAGTCTTGCTTTCAAGGGACATATTCTAGTAAATAGGTAGTTGTTGATGCCATTAACCTAGGAAAATAGGGGAGCGGGAACAAGTTCATGGATATAGGAGAGAGATAGTGAATTTGGATTTGGACATGTTGAGTTTGAGGTGCTGTGGGACATTTTGATAGAGTGTGGACTGAGAAGGGGAACTTCTTTTTGTAATAACTGAAATGACTAATTAGAAATTTCATACAAACATTCCAAATTTGAATTTCAGGAGGATACTTGGAAAATTCTACTCATGGAGTCCTGGCTTTGGTGCCGCTTTGCCAGCATCTTATGTGGCTATTCTGATTGAAAGAAAAAGCAGGTAAATTTTTACATATCTACATATTTAATCAAACTGATTTACTGTCCCCTTTGTCAACTAGAAATTTTTTTTTCTTCTTATCATTTATTATAGTCCAGGTATGAGAAATATTTCCACATATATTTTTCAGTCTTGAAGATATATTATGGAAAATTTAATTTTATACTATATATTATTATTTATGTTTATTAAGCCTATAAAATATAAAGATTGACATTATAGAGTGGTAATACCCATTAGTCTTTGTTTAGTAAAAAATTAGAGTTCTTTGGTGTGCCTAACTAAAACATGGCGTACACAAATTCTAATTAAAGATCTCCACAATAACAATACCATGGTCACACCAAAGAAAATTAAAAATAGGTTTTTTTTATTGTCTAGATTTGTAATTTGATTCAGGGTCATTGAGTGACCTCTGTTAAATCAATTGTTATTTTTAAGGCATCTTATTTAAAAAAGTATTTTCATTTTATTTAACTTGAAAATGTTCTAAGTGAAATAGTGAGATTTCTATAAAATGCTACAAACTTTATGTAAATTGTTCTGTCAGGTAAACAGTTGAGTTAAAGCTTTTGTATAAAATAATTTTTGCCATTTTATGAATAATTATTGCTGACAACTGCTTTGATTCCATCTTTATCCCAGAGAATCAAGATTGGGGTCTTGTATTAATCAAGGAGTCATGTATTAATCAAGATAGGTCATCTTTCAGTTTGTGAAGATGTTTATTGTAATCATCGATTTTTTAGTGTATGGGGTAAGGGAGAAGGAGAAGCCAAGGATATCTCCAGTTGTTCCACATGGGTGAATAGGTAGTTGTTGATGCCATTAACAACTGGTAAGATCCCCTGGTAAGATCTGCTGATAATATAGATCTTATCAGGTGACCAACTATTTACTTAAACCACCTGAAGCCATTTTTAATGCATTTTTATAAATGTAGTAGTATCTAAATTTTTGTGCTTCTCTGTTTGATTATATCACATTTGTTTTGGATTATTAAAATTATTAAAATCAAAGGACTTGTGGATATTACTACCACAGCATAATCAAGCCAGTAGTGCTAGAAACATAGGTTACCCCTCCTGAGAGGACAGTATAGAATACTAATTAAGAGTGTAGATTCTTTAGGGAAAAGGAGTTTATAATTATGCCTTTAATTCACAAAGAAAATCAATGATATGTTTGTGGACATAGCCAGTAGGCAGCTTGAAATGTGAGTCTAGATTCAGGAGAAGCATGGTAATTATAAAAATAAAATTGGGAGTTTTTTTCTTATAAGTGGTCATTGAAGCTGTGGGAGAAGATCAGAGCATGAAAGCCCCGAATACAAGGTCTGAGGTTAGAAGTTGGGAAACAACAATATTTAAGGAGTTAGTTGTCAATTGAAATGTGTATATAATTTATCCTTTTAAAAATAAGTATTAGTAAAATAGTAGAAAGAGTGGGAGAATGTGGAGAGTAGCATTATTTTTCAATTGGCAGTGATGGTCCTAATTTTTAAGTCTCTAAAGCTTTTATTTCATAATGAAATCTTTACTCTGAGTTTATACATTTTAGATTCAATTGTATAATCAGATTTTAAAAAAACATTTAATGAAGTAAGAACATACAATATGGTTATATGCACACATATATACACATACATATATGATGGATATATATATATGTAAAGGTCTATGTTCATAAATATATCTTCATCTATATTGGTTTAACTTTATTTCCTCCCTATTTTTTCTCCCTCTCTTTAAATGATCCATGCATCCATGCATCCATGCATCCATGCATCCATCCATGCATCCATGCATCCATCCATCCATCCATCTATCTTTTCCAGTTTCCCTCCCCGCCTTATAGAATTAAGCAGCTAGTTCTTGACACCTTGTAAGAGGGCAGCTTACTTAAATCTTAATCACATCACTGTGGGGTTCTGAGAAAGCTTTGAAGTTGTTTCCAGGGTTGCTTAAAAAATTTGTGCCACAATGAACTGTGATCATAGTAACTCAGCAGGAAGCATTGGTAACATCTAGTTTATCTCTAGGTGGGCTGTTAAGAACTAGTCTTCTCTTTCATTTTCTAGGAAGTGCTTTGTTTGTGGTTCAGTAAGAAGTTGTTCTGATGGATTTTGTTTTGTAGAATTGCTGTGGAATTTGCTTTGATTTTTAGTATTAGTTTAGATAAATTAAAACTCCAGGGTGCTCAAAAAATGGACATGGTTTAAAATAACAAAAACTGCATATTTATTCTAAGCATACTCATGGGTTAGTTGTTAAATTTCACGTTGTAGTTATGAAATTCTTAAAACAGTTATGACCAAAATTATATCTATCTATCTATCTACCTATCTATCATCTATCTATAATATGTGAATAAAAGAATACTGTATATTTTGTCTATAAATTCTTGGCGTCTTCAATTTTCATTGTCATGTTATCTTCACAGGAAGAAAATTAATTTACCTTGCATCTTTCTGAAAAATTTACTATGTATTACCCACTATATATATAATAGACTATGACTATTGACTCTTGTTCTAGTCTATAGGTTTATATTATTCATTTTTATTTCATAAGAAAGTAAAAGGGGTATTTTACACTCTTCTAAAACATTTTGACAGGTGAAAATTTATCTTGTCTTTAAAGACTTTGAGATGATTAAATAGCATCCCCTAGTAAACCGTTACAATGTTTAGGAATTTTCACTGTGTTTTTTTTGTTTTGTTAGAATTCTAGGCACCACCAGAGGCTGATGCTCTGTAAAACTTCTCATTTCTTACCCTAATCAGTATATTGTTAGTTAGCTTAAAGTTTCACTTTTGCATCTTAGAAGTCTTTGTCATGTCAGATTAGATGTGCAAGGGTCACTATGTTTTTCTTTAATCTCTAATTTCACCTCACCTCATTCATAGAACACGTAAATATTTTTATAAGTGTACATAGAATATATAAATATTTATAATTTAGAAGTTATACTATTTCTGCTGTACGCCTTAGTAACCTTAGTTGTGAAATGTGTTACATACAGTGTCATTCAAAGGTTTAAGAAGGTTAGCTAAAGGAATATATACACTAGAGTTTCCTGGAAAAAAAAAAAAAAGCATTATTACTCATCCATTTAGGTACAATAATGTCATTGGAATATAATAATACCTGGAATTTCTGCATAATGTGAGGATAACTTTTAATCTTCTAAGATGTTAAGACAATTTAATTATTTTAATATTTTCCCATAGAAATAATGATACTCTGATTATACATAATCCCAACATCAGTGGTTCTTAATACCTTTTCAGGTAGTACCCTTGATGTGCACACCCAGTGAAATATTTCATGCAAATTAAGAGATTCACCTCTTTCTCTAATTAAATTAAAAAAAAAAGCTTATTTGTGGTTTAAAGACATACTTGACTAACTCAGGTTCACCAATCTTTTAATCTAGCGATTCTCAGAGAATAGGAGTATTTGTGTATCAGAACTTCCTGTGAAATTTAAAAGCTCTTACCCTTCTTGCCCCCAGCTTTTCCTCTTTAGGCCTACACCACCTTCTGTTCTACTCCCCATCACTGTTAGTGTAGTGTTTTAATATGTAACTCGGTTTCCAGAGAGAATTTACTCCCTTGGCACTGACCTGTTTGTCTTCAGGCTTAGGCTAGATACAGTGAAGTGTTAAATAATAAAGTAGCATTTACTTAATTTATCAGTTTCCTATGATACTGGACATCTCTGAAGATATAATGAAACATTGCTGTTGTCATGTTCTACCCCTTCAAATTGACATTGGAAAGGAGGTTGAAGACAGTGCCCCAGGGAAGCCTATCAAAAAGAGTCTGGCTATGTAATCCAACATATCATTCCCTTCACACACTGTCCTCTCATTTGTGAGGCTACTAGGCTACTAGCTCTGGGTTGGGATTTAGATAAAGCTAGGAGGGAGATAATCTTCCTCATTATTTGGGAATGATAAATTGAAACTTGAGACCAGAATAGGACATAATCTAGGAACACTACATCCTGTGTTTTTTCCCAGTCGTTAGGCTTTACTCATTCTCAAAGCATAGAAGCCTGTTAGGATACCATATTAAAGAGTCAGTGAATTGTAGAACTTCAGGGCAATTTAGTAAAGATTTTCTGCTTTAGAAGCTCTGCATTAGAGTGAGCACAAAACTGGAGTCAGATGAACTGATTCCTAATTCCAATTTGTGTTTTTGTGACTTTCATATTTTTAAGGAAACCACTTCTCTGATTCTCGGTTTTTGGTGGAGTAAGGGTAAGAGTATCTGCATTACATTTCATAGGACTATTTTTTTCACTTAAAAAGTTTTTTTTCTATTATAGTTGACATTCAATATTATTTTATATTAGTTTCAGGAGTACAGCATAGTGGTTAGACAGTCATACACTATGGGACTACTGAGAGAATAAAATCTGAGTTCCAAATATCAATGTCTTGTAAGTTGTTAAATTTTATGCAAATGTAAGATAATTTGATCATGTCTTTGCTTGCTAATACATTGGTATCATTAATTGACCCTATCTTTTGTGATTATATTTCTATAATATGTGTCTATAATGTGTTCCTCATAAGGCTGGATTCCTAGTAACACCTTGGTTAGTTATTTTACATTACTTGTTTAGTGCCCATTAGATGCCAGGTACTATTGAAGGTTGTGAAAATGTAAAGGTAAACAGGATAATATATGTCTGGTAGTTAAAGATGAACAGTTATATTATCAGATAGATGGAAGGTAACAATTGAAACTGGATTAATTGAGTATTAGAGACAGAATTAGATTAGTGGAACAAATGTTTTTACAGATAGCATCATACATTAGATCACTTAATGATGAGATGAATTATCAGGTACTACCACTGAAATTACAGAAATATTTTTATTTTGGTTTTATTTATTTATTTATTTAATTTATTTATTTTTTAAATATATCTTTATTGATTTCAGAGAGAGGAAAGGAGGGGGGGAGAGAGAGAGAGACAGAAACATCAATGATGAGAGAGTCATTGATTGGCTGCCCAGCCCGCAACCTGGGCATGTGCCCTGACCGGGAATCCTAGGTCGATGCTCAACCGCTGAGCCACGCCCGGCTGGGCTATTTTGGTTTTATAATAAAGAATATTATTTTATTCTTTATATGTAATTAGCTTTTAGTAAGAGTAGGTATCACTTGAGGAGGTTTAACTTTTCTGTGTATGTGTGACTCTTGGATATTGATGTTACCTTAATTTTTCTTTATATAACTTATTTACAAAAAGTACTACTAGAACATCTTTGATGTAGAATTTTGTAGGAATTTATAAGACTGGTAAAGACTAGTAGAAACAATTTCAATTCATATGTACAAATCATAGAAAAGAAGAGCTAAAAAATAGGTATGATTTTGATTTATTTACACTGGACGACTGTTGTTGTGTTGACTTCTCATTTTTTAAATTTGACAATCTAAGGGAAAAGAGGTCAGTGCCCCTGACTAAATAGCCAGGTATCGCACGTTTTAAAAATTCTTACAGCACACCAGTTGAAAATCGCTGATACAGACTAATAGCAAATTGTACTACTCTTCCTATTAATAAACAATAATAAGGCAATACTTATTTTTAAAACTGAGATATAACTGATCTATAGACATTATATTAGTTTCAGCTGTACAACATAATGATTTAATATTGCTATATACTGTGAAGTGATCCCCACAATAAGTGTAGTTAACAATTACTAGGTAGTTGAAATTTTAAAGGATTTAAATTAATGAACACTAAACAGAATAACTTGTAGAATCTGTTTACACCCAACTATGGGTTTATTGAAAACTTAGCTCAGCATAATCTACCCCTTTTTCTCAACTCCTGATAAGTATTTTGATACATTTTTCAAAAATGATAAAAGTGATTAGTAAGTCAAATTAATGTTTAACTCTCTTTTTAAAATTATTTTCAGGAGAGGGCTGCTCACAATTTATATGGCCAACTTGGTAAGTAATTTTTTTTTCCTTTTGAGGGTTTTCCATGTGTTTTTAAATTTTTTTTTTTTTTTTAAATCAAGTTCCCTTAAAAAATAAAAGGGAAAGGAAAGCTGTTAAAATTTGAGAATATTATCTGTCTCTGTTTTAAAGGATACACATAAATGTTTAAAAGAACCTCAGTGCAATCTGGTTTATTGCTGTCATATGTGACTGGATTTCACGTAGTTCAGGGGAAAGTAATTCACAGTCCTGTGCCTTTTATGACTTTTTTTAAAGTGTAGATCTTCATCTTTGATAGGATCTATATTTATATCTGTGTATCTCTATACATATTCAGTTGAACTTCATATTGTTTCTGTTGCCATTTCTTATGGAAAAAACAGTGTAAAAATGAGCTTTTCTTATGAGGTACCTTCTTGGACATCAGAACAGCTTAGTTCTATCTTCAGACACTGAGCATATGTAATAAAATAATTATCTAGGCTTCTAGATTTCGAAGTTTACAGAAGTGAATTAATGTTAACTAGTGTGATATCTTTTTGGAAAATATATAATCAAAATTATATAACTTTCATTGTGAAGTTCAGATTTAAATATATATTTATCTTAAAATATTTTAAAGTTGTTTATTAAAAGGCAACATTGAAAAATTTAAAAGATAAATAATTTTTTATTTACCTAATGATACCTTTTTGAATTCTGTAACAAGGGAATATAATTCACAGTTTTTTGTTTACCAACGCATTTCAGTTGCAAACTATATAATTTTTGCTCTGAATTACCATGTGTCAGTTACTGTGTTCATATGCTAGTAGGCAACATAGAGACAGTCCTTGTATTTCTGGAGTTGGCTGTCTAATGGAGAAGTCACAACAGAAATAATAACGTTTGAAAAGGACTGAAAGATGACTAATAGGTTGCTGTGGGAACCGTATTAGAAGCACCAAGTCATCTGGGTGCTGCTTTCCTTTCTTATTTTAAAAAAAGTCTTAAAAATATTATGCTTGTATACTAGAATGGATTTGAGTTTTAATGTATATTTTTTGTTTAGCCGTGCACTTGCTTTTCTATACTACCACAAGGTACATACTTTAATGCCCATATGCTATATATGTTTATACACTTTAAAGTCTAAGTAAACGTTCACAAACTTTTTGTGTTGCCTGGTTTAGATTGTAAATTCCTGGAGGGAAGATCTTTGACTTTGATATAATCAATGTTAGAGAATGCCCTTAAAATATTGTATTTGGTTTTTTTAATATTAAACTTTTTATTTTAAAATAATCATAGATTCATATGCAGTTACAAGAAATAATCTCATGTAATCTTGACCCAGTTTCTTTTAGCAGTAATATCTTACAAAATTATAGTGGTATCAAAATTAGGATATTTACATAGATATTTACCACAGTCAAGATAGAGACCATGTCTTTCACCACAAGGATCCCTCATGCTGCCCTTTTGTAACGACATCCACTTTCCTCTTCCTCTTACCTCCCCTCCTCCCAGTCAACCTCTGGCAACCTCTAATCTGTTCTTTATTCCTATAATTCTGTAATTTCTGTAGTCATTTCAAGAATAGTATATAAATAGAATTAGAGAGTGTATACTATTTGTGATTAGCTGTTTCATTCAGCATAATTTCCTGGAGATTTATTGAAGTTGTTGCACATATCCTGAGTTCATTCCTCTTTATAGCTGACTAGTGTTCCATGGTATGGCTATATTAATTTGTTTAACCATTCACCCATTGGAGACACCTAGCTCGTTTCTGGTTTTTAGCTATTACAAATAAAGCTGCCATAAATATTCACGTGCAGCTTTTTGTGTGAACATGAGTTTTCATTTTTCTAGGATAATTGCCCAGGATTGTGATTGGCGCCTATGGTAGTTTCTGTTTGTTTTTTAAAGAAACTTTTAAACTGTTTTCCAGAGTGACTGTACCATGTTGCTTTGCTAGTGTTTCCAGTCTAGAATAATACTTTGAATATCTAGTTCTTTCTAAATGAAAAATTGGGGGGGAGGGCATTTGTCTGTTAAGTAGATTTGTACTCTCTGTCCAGACTAATAAAATTCAGTATTAGAAAAGTTTTTCAGAAAATGTAAAATATGAATTGGTCTTTTATTCTCTGTCAGTCAGTTGTAAAGGATCTATAATTAAAAAATTTAATGAGACCAAAGGCTTTACACATGGGTTTTGACTGTGTCTAAAGGAAAGTGAATCTGTACATGATATATTGTGGATACTAATGATACTCTAATAAGCTTCATCTTCCCTTTATCTAAATAGAGCCTTTTATTTATACTGTTACTATATAACTGTTACTGTAGTAACAGAATAATGGGTTTAAAATAGGTAAGAATTTAAATATTTTCAGAGATACTGAATTTAGCTTTAAGAATTAATTTTGTTTTATAACTTTGTTATATTGCTTATTAGACTAAACTGAAATCGTTGGCTTATAACATCAACAAAAAAATTTCTAAAGGTTGGGAGGTTTTATTTAAAAAGAATAATTATTATATTTAAGTATGTGTTTCTGATTTGGAAAGTATAGAAAAGCTTAAAGAAGAAAGTAAAAGTCTGTAATTTTACAATGTAGTAATTACTGACATTTTAGTGTTTACTTTTTTGTTCCCTTTCTTTTCCTCCATTGTATCTACATAAACACACAGACATTGGTGCACGTTCACGTTACATGTTGTATACCCATTTTAACAAATATATTGGGGGCATATTTTGTGACATTTTTGTTACTGTGCCATACAGTTTTAAAATTTTTAAAATTTTTTGTTGTTTTATTTTTAATTTGTTTTGAACTAATTGGGGTGACATTGGTTAACAAAACCATACAGGTTTCAAGTCTACAACTCTATTAACACATCGTCTGCATTGCTCATGATAATCATTTTTGGAGAGTGTACTCCACCTTTTCTTCATTATGTCTTCATTACGAGTTGATTTTATACATACACACTTATACACATCCCCACTCCATATGTTGGGAGGCAGTGAAATAATAGCTATTTGGTTAGTATAATATACTTTTGTTAGTTTTGGCTGTAATAGTTCTTTATTCTTTAGTTACACTGCTATGCCTTTGAGTGAATACATGCTAGAAGAATGCACAGAACTGGCTCCATATTATCTTTATTTCATCTTTGTCTTCATTTTTATCAGTGAATATTTATTTATTGAGTGCAAAGCACTTTGGTAGGTGTTGGGCCAAATATAAGCCATTATTTTGTCCTTAAAATTAATATAGTTGAGGGAGTAACATTTATCTAGATATGGATTTAAAATGAATAAGTAGTTAATAGTCCAAGACAGTGTATTCATGTCAAATATGTGGTTAGACAATACATTTGTTAGAACTTTAGAAAAGGGAGTTAGTTTTTGGCAGGGGCAATCAGAGAAGGTTTTATGAATTACATGGGACTTGAACCTTGAAGAAAAGGAGGGGACTTGGAGGAAGCTCCATCTTAGAGCTGTGTCATTGGTGACCACAGGATAAAATCTTGCCTCTCCAGGATTGCCAAGTTGGGCCAACATTTAGGAAAAACTACAAAAAAAAAAAAAAAAAAAAGACTAGAAACATTTGTTGAGCACCTATTGTTAGACAATAGGGTGAAACTGGAGTTACCAAAATAATATTCTCTCCTTGCGGGGACNAAAAAAAAAAAAAAAAAAAAAAAAAAAAGACTAGAAACATTTGTTGAGCACCTATTGTTAGACAATAGGGTGAAACTGGAGTTACCAAAATAATATTCTCTCCTTGCGGGGACCTTAAACTCTACCTGGGCAGAGAGATATGTAAACCAATGGGAATAAATCACATCTCTGTTTTTTTAGTATTGATAGTTGTCTCAAAACAGAAAACAGTACAGTGTTTATACTTCGTAATTGTGAATATAAATTTTACTAGTTGTGCTTATGTTAGTGTTGTGGGGAGCAGGTAAAGAGCTTTATACTTTAAATAAGGGATATCTGTATTAATGCTTTGGTTATATAAAAAAGATTTTCCCTTGGGTTCCCTGATAGTTACTCTTATTACTCATGATTATCTGTCAGTAAGCCCTGGTAAGTCTTAGTTATTTGACCACTGGTTTATAGCCTTACTGATTAATTAACAGTTTTAAAAATGACAAACTTAAGGCAGTTGAATTAATACCCATCTGAAAATGTTTTCTTGTTATATGTTAGCAAGCATAATTTGGAAGGCAAAGTATACAATTTTTTTAATTTTTGTTTTTTTTACTATATCTTTATTGATTTCAGAGAGAGGAAGGGACAGAGAGAGAGATAGAAACATCAATGATGAGAGAGTTATTGATCGGCTGCCTCCTGCATGCCCCTGACTGAGGATCGAGCCCGCAACCCAGGCATGTGCCCTGACTAGGAATTGAACCCCGATCGCCTGGATCCTAGGTTGACGCTCAGCTGCTGAGCCACATCCGGCCGGGCAGTATACAAATTTTAAACTAATATAGTTTTTTAGATTCTTAGAATTCATAGAGAATTAGGTGTTAGGGGGAAAAATGCATAAAAGGTATACAGAAAAGGTATAAAATAAAGGATTAAATATTTTCTCTGGCTTCTGCCCAAGATATGGCTATAAAATGATGAAAATGTTTTCCTGGGGCTAATATGCCAGAACCAATTACTCACAAGAACACCAGATGCTAAGATTCAACTTTGCAACACTGTGATTTAAAGAGAACACATAGCCTTGGCCAGTGTGGCACAGTTGGTTGGAGCGTCATTCCGTGCACTGAGGGTCTCAGGTTTGATTCCTGGTCAGGGCACATGCCCAGGTTGTGGGTTTGATCCCCAGTTGATCCCTGGTGGGGGCAACTACAGGAGGCAACCGATCAATGTTTCTCTCTCACATTGATGTTTCTCCCTCACTTTCTCCCTTTCCCGTCCTCTCTCTAAGATCAATGAAAACATCCTCTGGTGAGGATTAAAATAAATAAATAAGTGAATAAGAATTCATAAAAGTTTGCAT